GGCGGAGGAGGCCTCCGGAGTCGGAAGCCTCTCGGATTTGCCATCTGCTCTGCAGTTTCTGTTTGCTGTTGAGAAAGAGTCACCGTGTTCCCTCCAGGCCCAGCCAGTTAGACTCTTGTTTCCTAAGTATTCAGGTTTGCCTCTCTTCTTGTTTACCCTGAAAGGATTCAGAACCAGTCACCCTAAGATGTGCCTCTGTGGTATGCAGACTATTTTGAGCTAAAGGGAACAACAGAGACCCTGCAGGTTCATGATAAACCTTTACCTCTCCTTTAAAGAATTTAAATTAGGGCCCTTGCACATAAAAAGACTTATCATCAGAAATGACTTTTTATGATCTATCTATAAGGCAGGGCAAACTTCTAATTACCGAATACCTGCTCCTCTTATCAGCCTGGGAATGACCTTTCTCTCCACTAAAGCCCCAAGGCACTTTACTCATCCTTAGCTTGGAATGCCATATATACCTCATTTTTCCTTTCTGTCTCTGAACCTCTCATGTATGTGAGGTCCCCATACATACATATGTAATTAAATTTATTTTCTCTTGTTAGTTTGTCTCATGTCTATTTAATATTAGACCAGCTGAAGGAACTAGAAAGGTAGAGGAAAGTTTCTTCCTCCCCTACAACCCCATTACTCCTCTTCCATATTCTACCTCACCCCTTTCTCCCCTGGCTTCTGTTCTTTTTCCTCCAACCTCTTTTATTTTTCTATCCCAAGACAAAGCCATGCAGATTTCTATGTGCAGAAAGAAAAAATCTATAACACACACACTGCTATCTATCAGACACTTGTCATATATTGGGCTTTACATACATTATGTCATTAATCCTCATAACAGCCCTTAGTAAGTACAGTCTCATTTATTGCCCTCATTTGGAGAGGCTGTACGTGTGGTGGTTAGAGCCTGGACTCTGGAAACCGCATTACAAATTTTGGCTCTTCAGGTTACCAGCCGTGTGCCCTTGGGGAAGTCAATTTTCCTCTCTGTGCCTCAGTTGCTTGAAGGGGTGGGGAACATCTGGCTCAAGAAATCATTTAGTCTGGCCCTGCCAAGGCATTAGGGGTGAGTTAATTAAATGTTTGGCCAAATTATAGCAGGCTAATTTTTAAAATTTATCTTTATTTTCGAAAGTATTACAGATGTCCCCTTTGTTTTTTTTTCCCCATTGACCCACTCCATCCCACATGCTATCCTCCCAGGCTTTCACCACAGTATTGTCTGTCCATGGGCTATACATATTTCAATATATGTTCCCAGTTAATCTTTCCCCACCCCACCCCCACCTCTGCCTTCCATCTGAAATTGGTCAGTCTGTTTCATGCTTCTCTGTCTTTGGATCTATCTTGCTCACCAGTTTATTTTGTTACTTAGATTCCACATATGAATGAGATTATGTGATACTTATCTTTCACTGACTGGCTTATTTTGCTTAGCATAATACTCTGCAGATCCATCCATGCTGTTGCAAATGGTAAGGGTTCCTTCATTTTTACCGCTGCATAGTATTCCACGGTGTAAATGTCCCACAATTTTTTAATCCACTCATCTGCTGATGAGCACTTGGGCTGTTTCCAAATCTTAGCTATTATAAATTGCACTGCTATTAACATAGGAGTGCATATATTCTTTCTGATTGGTGTTTCAGGTTTCTTAGGATATATTCCTAGAAGTGAGAGCACTGGGTCAAATGGGAGTTCCATTTTTAGTTTTTTGAGGACACTCTACACTGTTTTCCATAGCGGTTGTACCTGCAGGAAGCCACCCTTTGTCTTCACTAGCAGAGAAGTGCAAACAAGGATCCCGAAACGCTGGTGAACCTTGAACCCACGGCAAGGGCTAGAGTTATGTACTGATTGTCTAATCCAGACAATGGGGGCTCAAGCTATTTCTGATCAAATAGTCTCAGAGTAAATCCTTCTAATATTTACTGACCTTTAAGATTGTCTGTTACCGCAATTACCTGCCTATGAGCTAGATGTGTATCCAAAGCTGAATAAAAGGCTGGGGAGGCCTGAGCACCAGTGGAAGTCCTTTTTTTTTTTGCATTGGGCTTGTCTGCCTGGCCCCCAATATTTCCAAATTATTATTTCTTGTCTCGTCTTTTTCATTTGCTTGTGGCCGCTCCTCCAGATCCCGAACCCTGAATCACTCAGAGCATGGGGAACACTCACACGAATGATTAGTGACTTTGAGCATTTTTAAATATATCTTGTGGCCTTCTGTATGTCCACTTTGGAGAAGTGTCTATTTAGGTCCTTTAGCAGGATAATTTTTAAAAAAATCTTTATTGTTGAAAGTATTACATATGTTCCTTTTTTTCCTCCATTGACCCCCCTCTAGCCTGCCCCCACCCTCTGCCGCAGGCTTTCACTACCCTATTGTCTAGCAGGCTAATTTTTCCATTTTTATTTTTGTAATATATTTTTAATTGATTTTAGAGAGCAAGGAAGAGGGAGAGAGAGATAGAAACATCAATAATGAGAGAGAATCATTGAACGGCTGCCTCCTGCATCCCCTACACTGGGGAGTGAGGCCACACTAGAGCATGTACCCTTGACTAGAATCCAACCTGGGACCCTTCAGTCCACAGGCTGATGCTCTAACCACTGAGAAAAACTGGCTAGAGCTAGGAAGCTAAATTTTAAGTCGATAATTTTGTATGGTCCCCCAATGATGTTATAAATATCCAAATGACCCTTGGCAGGGAAAAGGTTCCCCAATCCTGACAGTTTCTTCCTCTAGGGCAGTGGTTCTCAACCTGTGGGTCACGACCCCTTTGCGGGTCGAACGACCCTTTCACAGGGGTCGCCTAAGACCATCGGAAAACACATATATAAATACATATTGTTTTTGTGATTAATCACTATGCTTTAATTATATTCAATTTGTAACAATGAAATTGGGGGTCACCAAAACATAAGGAACTGTATTAAAGGGTCACGGCATTAGGAAGGTTGAGAACCACTGCTCTAGAGGGTGTTACAAGAATTATATGTATGGTAAGCACTATATATGTGTTAACTATGATTACCTATTGTTTAGAGAGGCGGAAACTAAGAGAATGACTTGCTCAAGGTCACACAGGTATTACTAGGCAGTTAGGATTCACATCTAGGTCAGTATGTGGTAACATCCACTATCAGCTACACTACACATCCACCTGACTGCAGAGTGTAATTTGAGTAAGAACATTTTCAATGGTTCTTTTAGCTAAGAGGACACTAGAGGGAAATAAAGGCTAAGAATAAGTTGGCAAGAATCCAAGACAGATTTATTTATTTATTTTTTTAATTTTATTTTTTATTACAAAGGGTATTACATATGTGTCCATTTTTTCCCCCCTCCCAAGACAGTCCCCTAGCCTCCCCTATCCCCCAGTGTCTTATGTCCATTGGTTATGCTTATATGCATGCATACAAGTCCTTTGGTTGATCTCTTACCCCCCTACCTCCCGCCCCCCAACCCTCCCCGGCCTTCCCGCTGCAGTTTGACACTCTGTTTGAGGCCGCTCTGCCTCTGTATCTATTATTGTTTAAAAGTTTATAATGGTCTCAATTATCCATGAGTAAGTGAGATCATGTGGTATTTTTCCTTCATTGACTGGCTTATTTCACTTAGCATAATGCTCTCCAGTTCCATCCACACTGTTGCGAATGGTAGAAGTTCCTTCCTTTTCACAGCAGCATAGGATTCCATTGTGTA